AGCCTGTAGCTGGCACACCTGTATGCCCGTAGCCATGTAGATGACAATGTCAATGTACTAGCATGTATGTATATATCTATATATGTATCTGGCATGCCAGTAGCAGTCAGATGTAAGGTTATTGCCATATGTACACTTGTAAAAGATATACCAAAAGCAGGCAGATGTAAGATTACTAACATATTACATATTCGTAAAAGCAATGCCAGAAATAGGCTCATGTAAGGTTACTAGCATGTGTACACACGTGTATGGTATACCAATAGGAGGCAGAAAAACGGTAGCTGGCATAAGTACACTCGAAAAAGACATGCCAATAGCAGGCAGATGTAAAATGACTGCATATAATTATTTACCTGTAAAAACTATGCCAGTAGTAGGCTGATGTAAGGTTACTAGCATGCCTATTCATGTAAAAGTTATACTAGTAGCAAGTACATACAAGATTAGTAGCATATCATTGACGTAAAAGGTGTGCCAGTAACTGAAAGATGTAAGTTTACTAGCATGCCTATTCATATAAAAAGTATGGTAGTAGCTGGCACCCATAACGTTACTAGTATACTCATCGACGTAAAAGGTATGCCAGTCACTGGCAGATGTTGGTTTACTAGCATGCCTATTCTTGTAGAAAGTGTGTCTGTAGCTGACATATTATAAGACTGGCACAACAGGCTACAGGCACGTGTACTTAGGCCTAAAGGAATCAAACTCAGAGAATAATAATTATTAGCAAAATTGCTCGCTCTGATGATAAATATTATATAGAATTAGAAGATTGTCTTTACATACAGATGTTTTATGGGAAATATTGTTGATTGTATTTGCCATTAACGCGTTACATGTATTTCCACCTTAAGGGAAGGCAATTAAGGTCGTTCCCATCGTAACTGAGAAAAACTTACCTAACGATGACGAGCACGCCGTATCCCATATAATAAAACATATAGAAGAACATTTTGAAGAATCCTACAGCTAATTCAGCAGGTGGCATCTGTTGTAGATCTGCGATTTTAGTCTTTATATTGGCGGGGGATAGGGACGAAAATGCTGTGGCGATACCGTCTTTTACCGCTTGGAATCCTCGACGGAATGGGTTCTTATCTTGTCTGAAACGAAGTTAAAAACAAGTTTAATAAAGAAGTCATTCCTATTTACAATTGCAGTACATGAGGTCGATTCGGACAAACATGAACTACTTCATATGCCTGCTTAACTTTGAGAGGTGGAATATTTTCTTCATATTTGTATGGCACCACTGCTGAGGTACCCTTTTCTAAACAAAAGAAAAATAATCGAAATCGGTTCACGAAATGTCAGAGTAATTGCGCAACATACACAAAAAAATACAGTCGAATTTGTGAAGTCAGTTGAAAATCTCAAAAACAACTAACTCATCAGAAATATCGATTAAAAAAACTAAAGCGTATTTGACGCTCAAAGCCGGTTAATTGTATACCAATCCAATGTTATCACATGATTGTTTTGACAAATGATGATATAAAATTTAACGCATTCTGAACACAGCTGTGTAATAATTAGAGACTGATATAGGCTGAGTGAACCTTTACTAAAAGTTATAGTGTAGATAATACCTCCCTCTGAAAAACCGGAATAATTAAAAATAAAAGGCAAAAAAACCAAAATAAAAACATTTCTAAATACACTACGATATTATTAAGTAACAAAGAAAAATGCCTTTAATTTGACAGGATTCAAACCAACTCTGTTGCCACACCGGGGCTCTTACCAACTGAGCTACAGATCGAATCAGTGCACTGTGTATGTGTGTATGTATAGCAGTTATATACCTTTCCTCATCATCGTCACCCAAATACGTATAAGTGGGATCCCTGTTTTTCTGTCCAGTCGCAGCGTCTTCCGAAGCGGCCATTAGTCCTGATGCGTGAGTCATCTCAAAGATGGCGTCTTCGCAGAAATTAACGAAAGCTTCAAGTTTCTCTTTGTCACCACCTTCTGTTACTATGCTGTAGAAGAACGCGCGTTTCGATTCCTGTTCAAAATATGGAATTACAAATACGTGAATATTGTCAATGAGTCCCACTGATGGGCACGGGTCTTTTTCATGACATCAAGTAACGGGATGAGTAAGTGGTGCCTCTGGTGGTAAACGAAATGCCTGTAGCCTAGCCTCAGTGAAATGAAAGAGAATGCACAAGAAAAAAAAGAAGAATTTTAAAAAGAGGAAATGAAAAGACTGTAACAAATAAAATAATATAAAAAAATACAATTATATAAAACACTCTCTAGATCACTCTGAATCCGACTAAACACAATACTCACCCCAAAGGGCCTATATATCTACATAATTTAATAATAAATGACGCGAGGGTGATGGATGATTTATGGGCACCTCTCGCATTGAGAATTTTGATGGGAGTGAAGGAAAAGGGAATTTAATTCACTGCAACTGTTATGGACTGGCGTGTCGCTTCGCACCAGACGCACGACTTGTTCATTCCGTTACTCAGTATCATAAAAAAACTACCGGATACGGGTTTCTTTCTAAAGAAATGCTATTTGGTTCCAAATTGACTTATGAACTCTGTTCTATATTCTGTTGCAAATGTCTCACTACTGAGCATTGGTCTCATGTAAAAGGAGGGTGTACTACCCAGAACTTTAGACAAGAACCAATTTAGAAAAGTTCGTTTAATTGGTATTCCGAGAATCGAACCCGGGACCATTCGTTTCGATTTGGCTATTGAATTGTCATATGAAAGAGAATAAGAGTGATGAACAAACCTTAATCTGCGGCTTCTCCCATTGCTCTATATTGGACTCCTTAATCTCAAAGTATACTCTTTCAATACGTTTCGAGCCTCCCATGATCTCGATGCGACCAAGGAACGGTTCGAAGTAATTCAGAACCGATCCTGCGGTCTCCAGGAAACGAGCCAACCTGTAAAAATGCAGAATCGTGAACACCCCTGTAAAGCCTGCTTATCGTTATTCTACAGGATATATAATAATAACGCACACACTCAACATAGTCCCGCACTAGGGAAACCCAGTGTGTCACGAGTGCCATGGACATACACATAGTCAACCACAAATTACACCAAAACTCACGAGAGAAATAAATTACTAGTAAGCCATACAAATATTTCTCCTGGCCCGGGAATCGAACCTGGGACCTTTGCGTGGTAGTCCGGTATGGTAACCGTTCGGCCATGGAAGTAGTTTGTATCATGGAGAGTGTGCGAGGGAATTGCATGATGTTTTGATTTTATATTGCATTTTCAATCAATGTGCTGCCAGATTCGAAATATCGACTGGGCTACAACGACAATCTATATAGTGTTAAAAGATAACACTTGCGTGTAAACTCTGGGAGGATATTCGTATGCAAAATATTAAAATCGCGCCTTTAACCTTTGGTTTTGGACATTAAAACTATTTCGTTTTTCGGATCTAAATTGCGTATATTTGTTTTTTTTTTCAAACAAACCAACGTATCAGGCACTTTACAGCTCCAGTTATCCGTGACAATGGGACCTGTAAATTGCCCGAAACGTTGGTTTGTTTGATAATATACGCGATTTAAATTCGAAAAAATAGTTTCACATCCAATATGTGATATTTTTAGTGTTGGCAAAAACGGGAGCAGTCATTTTTTTACCTCCTACAGCATAAACTAAAACACTCAAAGGGGATGTTTCTGCATTTTTATGAGGTACAAGCGTCGAGTATATAGCCAGAAATAGAGACGAAATGTCATTTAATTTGTTTGAAAACTATTCTGCCATATCATTACGGTGACAACTGCACTCCGGTTGGCCAGCCCGAATTCGAAACAATTGACGGCTGTCGTCAATTGTTTCACTTCAAATCGACCTGTTTAACTTGAGCTTTGCTATAATGGACAAAAATTGAAAAATTACATGCTTAATATTTAATAACCGATGAAATGTGATTCCGTTTGTTTTGTAATTAGATGTTTTGCTGATACCACCGAATGGAAAAGCCCCACATAGTTAGAGATATTATCTTTATTACAATGAATACAGAATTTTTTGGAATATACGAAGACGTTTACACAGGTCAGTTGGTGGCGCTGTACTATTTCAGATTTCAGTGATAGTGATAGTGATTCAAACAAGAGTTGATATTTAAAAGTGATATAAGGCCCATTTGCCTGATGAGTTGCCAGGGATGGATGGCCCTTATTTCGTCTCTATTTCTAGTTATATATTCGATGGGTACAAGTACTCTCGTCACGCTACATTAAGAAAAATAATTCATCGAAAGAAATTCATACTACCTAAATTCAATAACTGTTATGGAAAAAGAAATTGGAAATATTTGTTACTAGCATTAATGAACAAAATGAGTGAGGAATTTATATGTAATTATCAACCAACAAACACTATAAATCATACATTAAAAAACATTTTTTGAAAACTGAAGATATAAACTTTGTTTTGTAAATTGCTTAATTGTTATTATATGCCATTTATATACACGTGTAAGTAAGTAAGCATGTTTTTGTACCTGTCTAGAAGTAATTAAGTTAGTTTCTTAAGATTTTTGCTCTATTATATATTATCTTTACTTAAATAGACTGAACTCCTTCACCGCGATTAAAGCCGAAAGGGCTATTTTGAGCGAAGCTTGTAATTAGTAAATAAGTATTTTTTCCTTTATTTTGGTCAATAAAAAAAAATAATTTGAACGAAATTGAAAAATGTTCGAAATTCAAAGAAACACGATGGCCGCCATACAAATCTCTCGATGCTCGAGTAGAATAAAGAGCGACAAGGATACATTGGTGTAAAAATTTACAGTCATTTTGAATCCGCCATTTTGAATTTTTTGACACTGTTAATGGTTAAAATACTTAATTACAAAGAGGCACTTACCTAGGTTCGTTGGGCATATGTTCAGACAGATTGGTAAGTAACACGGCCAAGTTGAAACCAATTTCTTTGGCTGGTTCGTGGAAGCGATCGCAGAATCCGATGTAGTCAAGTTTGCCGTCGTGGTTTGTTTCACAGCACGCAAGAAGAAACTCTATTTCTTCCCTGGAAACATGAAAGAATTACAGGAAAATTTTAAAATAATATAATTTTGCCAGATCCCCATGAGTACCAGAGCAACAGATCCATTTCAAGGCACTGTTCAGAATATCTAGACCAGAACCAGGTCATTTCCCAAAATGATCTTACCGGGAATCAAATCTGGGATTTCCTCACCTAGTGCCCACAGAGCAATTATAATAATATAAATATTATAATATATAATGTTATCCTTTGTCAGATTCAACTTGACACAATTAGATGTAGTTTTGTAAAGTGACTAGCTGACTAGGAGCTTTATAAGGCAACGTATTATAAAATTCGACTGCGACGTGTACAGGATCAAGAGTATGACACTAAAAATTGTAATTCAACTCCATGTTGCTTACGTGAAGAACGGTACAAAATTGTCAAACTTGATATGGTCTATCTACAAAAATATTATAAAACAAATTGTCACACCTCTTTTTTACAGAAAGTTAGAGAGTCATAGTTATTAAATGTATCAGACATATGTGCCAGAAGACCACAGACTCAAACTAGGGAATTCCTTGTGTCACGAGTATAACAGCAACGCCATTCACTCTGGGGCACTTCCCAGAACACCCAGACCAGGATCAATTTAGAAAAGTTCATTTCCCAGATTGGTCCTACCGGGAATCGAACCCGGGACCTTCACATCCAGCGTCCACAATGTAAATAGTTAGGCCACCAAGGTCGTCTAATATATCGATCCCTCCTACGTAAAGTATCGAATGTCGAAATTGCCAAGTTTACAGCGGAGCGTTTTAAAGTTCTGAATTTACTGAAAGAGTGATCATCTAACCGATATCTAGTATTTTATAACACTCTATGTGAGTAATGAGCTTTGCCGAATAAAACTGAGTGTACGGTTTACAACCGCACATTTTTCTTCCGCTTACCTTGCGCTCTACTTTGTGCCCTACTGTCCGTGGCTTACATACATTACATGGGCACATACGTACGCAAGTAATTTTAGTGTCAAACGAGCATTCACTTCATCTAGGCATCTTGAGTGTTTAACGAACATTCATATGTCTTAACGTAACAACAACGTAAGAGATACACATCCTCAACGAGGCTTGTATCTTCATTTCTTTATTAATAAACTTTATACTTTTATCATCTATCAATTTAAACAATTAGGCGTCAATACTATAGCGCCCCTATATATTATATGTATATATATATTGGCCCCTACACTGAGAAATGCTAAAGTCACGTGTTATATTCATTTCAGTCGATATATTCTTTATAGTACCAAAAAAATACATCACAAAAACTAATTATAGAAAAGGTGAGCAAAGGTGGACTTATTTCTAAAAGACATTCTAGCCAACCTAAGGCAGTGAGAACAAAGGTCATAAGCGGGCAACACAGTGCAAGAAAAAAGGAGGGAGAAAAATAATAAACGTAGCACGTAAATAAAAAAAAGATACCAATAGTTACATAAGTATTATAAGTACATAAAATATAAGGTAAATAAGGTTTGTTAGTAACAAACTTACGGAGTATAACTTTTCTGTTGTTCCATTTTATCTCTAAAGTCTTTCGGGGTGACCCAGCCGTCGCTGTTTGCGTCAATCTCCTGAAAACTCGGGCTGGACGTCAGGTCTTTCAGTTTCAGGAACATGTCGAAATATTTCAGGATTAATTCCACGTTGGATGCTGACTCTACCAGCGTGTCTACCATCTGTTTACCGATTGTACCTTTGGGAGAAACAAAAAGCGTTGGATCAGTTAAATTCTCTTAAAATTCTATCCCAAGCCGACTTAACTAATAATTAGAGATCAGAAGAGGTACATAATACAGAGTGAATAACACCTCCTTCTGAAATCTCTGAATAATTATATTTGCTTACAATTACAAAACGTTTCTTCTAAATAAACTACCTAAGTCATACGTAGTCACACTTTAAAAATATAGAACAAATACTATAGATCAATAACAATAAATACGCGATTTGAGAGGGAGGTATTATTCACGCTAAGTATTACTTACTTGACTAGTTGCGTGACTCTGAGGTGACATAAATAATATCCTTAACTAAAACCGGTAATACCACCCAGTTTATAGTCTAGATCTGGCTTACAATTTGGATGCAGTCACCACAAGTATATAGCGACTGCACGTGAACTGCACACGGGTTGCACAACTGCATTACAATTCCAAACTGCTCGCTGACTTGATTATAAACGTACATAGATCTCGATATAGTAATATAATACTTATAAGTTATAGTCGAATAAGCAAGTTTTCAATTGATTATGTATTTATTGTATATAGTCATAAATGTCAATTGTAATTTTGGTTTGTCATCTTATGCACCGCCTGTTCATCAGCGTTCCGGTTGATTAGTAGAGAATGCCTAATGGCAGTATGTTCGCCATTGGTACTGTTTCGTGTCCAATAGTTTGAATAACATATTTAAAAAAAAACCTTTGTAAACTACCAGTAATGAAACTTAAATGGATTTGTTGTTATTGTTAAATTACATATGCAATGTAATTTCATAATTAGGCAGGTCCTCTTACCACACTACAACTCTTCACTACTTTTTACTACTGCATTGAAATTGCAATGCGTGCAATTTCAATGCTTGCAATTTCAATGCAGTTGAGATGCTGTTCGTATGACAACACTCAAAGATTGATGAACTAAAGTCTCACCATTAACAACGTTTCCTTCAAGCATAGAAAGCATCATAGTAATCATGTCCTTTTGAAGGTTGAGTAGCTCCTTCAGCAAATCGACTTGAGAAGAATGTTTCGACAACTTGTCTTGCATGTGCGAAAATAAGAAGAGGAAACCGCCAACCGCGTCCCACAATCTGAAATAAATAATGGGAACAATGTAAAATCAAAATGACGAACAAACGATCGACCTGATGAAACTTGACCGCCGCCAATTTTAACATTTGTCGCAAATGCGTGGTTACCCTTGGCATTTTGAAATTTAAGTGTCCTGATACCGCTGGTTTTTCTCTATCCTTGAATACAGAACATGGTAATACTGATATGCGGAAGAAATAGGTAGAAGGTACCTAGTGTTGATTGTCCAAAAAATTTCCTGTAACTCTAGTGTTAGTAACTCCTTGTGAAAGAGTTCGTTCAGGAAAGTACTGCCACCTCACACACATACAATTCGTTTAAAAAATCCTTATAGTATGGCTCCGGTAGTATGGCTACGCATGATAGTCGCGACGCGCGCGATAATATTGAAATAAGCGCGTGCTATTGGCTGTCTCAACCAGTAGTGCGATTGACGTAAGTTCAAGCTATCAAAATATCGTTGAAGTTACGTAGTCGTTCAATCGAAATCATATCCAAAATGGGTCACGTATCACTTGAACGAACGTTGATATGAGTAGAATCGAAACGTATAGACTAATGAACGACATCTTGGATTGTGAAATTTGACATTTAGTCGTCGAAAGTCTATTTAAAGAACTCTCATAATTTTAGCAGAATTGACTTGGCGTTTAGAGTCGATTTAATTTCGATTCATATACCAGAATAAGCTTTAACTATTTTAAAAGTTTAATGTACATTTCATATACAATACACCATAAATTCACCATACAGTCATTTGTTACTAATGTAGTATAAGGTTGCTTCCTAACAAACTATGGACCTATGGTGTCTGAAAATGAAATATTTTTATTTTTAATTATTTTATTTATTTAACGACATTTGGATCGAACGACTTTAAAATTGGACTCGTTGACGTTCACTGTCACACGTGAATACGAAAAAGTAGTTCAACGACTAAATCGCTACGATATCGTAACGGTTTGATTACGTGAAATCACCCCACTGATCTAGTTTAGATAGCCAATAGGGCGCGCTTATTTCAATTTTATCGCGCGCGTCGTGACTATAATGAATAGCCATGCTACGGGGGCTGGTTATATTATAATATCATACAAAGCCTTATGGTTACCTGGAATGCGCCAGAGCTTGTTGATTCTGTGTACAAGGACCCTGAATGACCTCAGTGAGGGTATTGAACACCTGGGATGCCACTCCGATGGCCTTGAAGAAGTTTGCTTTGCCTGCTGGGTCGATGAGTTCCTACGCAAAAAAATTATTTGATATAAAGATAATAAAAAAAACCGACCTCAGAAGTTTGTGGATATACATATTTATTTATTTATTTATTTGGTATCCCAACAGAAAATATTAAACACTATTCAATACAATATAAAATTTAGTATCTATCTTTATGTATATATCCCAGTAACAGGGAAACGCAGCATTCTTAATTATGACGTCAGACTAACACTCATATATTAAGTTTAAGAATCAGACTGCATATTAAGTTTTATTGAAATCAGCTGACGAAAAGTGGCTGAAACCAATAAAGCGGATTCATCCCCTAATTTCCCACCCTTAGAGATAGAATATTTTCTACAAATTTGAATGGGACCACTATTGAGGTATCCATTTTCCAACATAAAAATAATCTTCGAAATCGGTTGACAAATGACGGAGTAATTGCGGAACATACACACAAAAAAAGTCGAATTGAGAACCTCCTCCTTTTATTGGAGTCGGTTAAAAAGACAGTTTAACAAGGTTCTAGAGCGGTCCATTTAACGCGATTTAAAGATATTTTCGTCGATCATTTGTGTTAATGTTTAATAGGTTTTACAACAGAAATAAATATAAATGTAGCGTTTCATTTCGACAGCGAGTAAATTGCTTGACATAAATTCAATATGGTACGGTTATAAAAATTAGTTTTGTAGCAATATAAATTGAGCTTACTTCGTTTGCAATCATTACCTTGCTAGAATAATGCCAGTAGAAGTCCATAATGGATTCCTGGAGTCGAAGCAGGTAGTCCACAGTGCAGATGACCACGTTCACAGTTGTCGTGTTACCCGCCTGAGTTCTGAGGTAGTTCTGCCATTCTAAATAATATTTTTAATTATAACATTACCATTTTTTATTTTATTTCTTTATTTACTCAAGTTAACGACCACATTTTATAATCTTGGCACTCTTAGAGCGCATCGTGGCGTCACTACTAATTTTCATACAATATTTAGCCCGTGCCCTTAAGGTACCTTCAAATTATAGCTATAAGCCCTGCAGTGGCGCCACAGTTAAGTATAAGGGTGGAGTTCCGGACCTTTCAGTCGACCGAAAGTTAACCTAAACTGAAAAGTTTCCTGTTTGCTAGAATGCATGGCTTTCTAAATCAGTTATGGTGCAGACCAGTGTTACTAGATGGTTACATTTATTACATGTTTCATAACTTTTGACCTTCTCGCGTCAATATGATATAACTTTTGTTTTTACGGCAATTTTCATAACTTTCGAGGGCAATTTTCGTAATTTTTTAAATTCAACTATATTTGTTATTGTAAATCCTAAATAGTTAACGAACGCAACCACATTAGGCAAAAAAATAACTTAGAGCCACCTGTTTGCACCATGCAAACAAAATGAAGTCAATATTACTTTTTATTTTTAGGATTTAAAGGTATATCCTTTGACAGTTAGAATTTTTAATTTAAAAAACGAACTTTTAAAATGTAACTTTTGCATCAAAAATGTAACTTTCAGGTAACGAAATGCAATTTTCGACTTAAGGGACTGGGAACATAGATGTACATTACATGCATAATATAATAATAATATAATATAATAACGCACACACTCAACATAGCCTAGACTTAGACCTAGACTAGGGAAACCCTGTGTCGCGGGTGCCATGGACACACACATAGACAACCACAAATTACACCCAAACTCACGAGAAATAAATGTGGGTTATACAAATATTTCGCCAGGCCCGGGAATCGAACCTGGAACCTCTGCGTGGCAGTCCGGTATGGTAACCGTTCGGCCACGGAGGCAGTTAAAAATAAAAAACTGACCTAAGTTGTGGCCTTCACAAGTCAGTTGTATGAAGCGGAAAAGGGCACACGTAAATTCTGCGTCGTGCATATTCTTCTCGCCCGCAGCTCCTTCTAGACCTACGCCGAGTCCTGCAGCAAATAATTACCAATCAGTATTTATTGAAATTACTAATGAGCGTTACTAACTCAGTGATGCGACGGTTGCTTCTCAATTGTGAATCAATGACTTTAATTTAAAAATTAGGTATATTCTGCGAATATTTAGTAGCAATCAATCAAACTCAATTTTAAACATAAAAATTTGGAGACAAAAAAATTCTTGGTTTAAAAAACAAATAGTCAAAGAGTCGTTTTATACAGAAATTTTCATTTTATTTTAATTAACCATAAATAAAAGACCTTCATTTCCTTTTTAACTTAGTAGAAAAAAGAGTACGGCATGTATAACTAGAACAAAGGGCACAATTATAGTATTTAGTGCCTCTATTGTCTTATTTATTTATCAACTAACAAGACTACAGTTCTGTACATTACTAGTAAAATTCTTTGATACTAGTGACTTTAACTTAATAAACGTCAAATATGACTTTTTATAATAGAAAACTGATTATTGATGTCAGTTGGGCCATTGAGTTTACTTACCGTACACCCAACAAATTATTGAGATAGATTTCTACAAAATAATTAAGATTTCTATTTTTTTGTCCCGAATACGTATATATGTATGTATAAGTCAATTTTGATAAAAATGTTAATTGTGCCTTTTTTCGTTCCGATGGCGGAATATTTTTCTTTAAAATTCCGGAACGAATAAGTGTAAAACGCAAAAGGAAATCTCTCTCTCTCTTTCAAAAAAAATCTTATTTTTTATGTTCCACTGCTGGCACGGGTGTACTCTCAGGTGAGGGTTTAGCCCATAATCCGCTACGCTGGCCCAATGCGGGTTGAGGATTTCATACGCTTTCCGAGGGTTGTGAACCGTCTTCGACGTGTAGGGGTCTACTTTTGTTCTCCGACATCCGTCCGAAACATTTCCGCGGCTCTAGTGAAAAGGGGTACAAATAAAAAAGCCAGCTTTACAAGGAGACTCGAAAAGCAGTTATAATATTAAGCGTTAAGTGTTTTACGAGTCTTGTAGACCATGTTAAGTATGAAGCTTAATTCGCATCATGCGTTGTTTAATTTGATCGAGTATTACTTTATTTTTATTTGACAGTAATTGTTTCGGTCAGATGTCGGACAAAGAACGAGAGTACGGGGCCTGGTTTCATCACGATGTTTTCATTCATCGAAAAACTCGTGGTAAACAAATTAAATCTTGTAACTGAAAAAATCCATCCCGGGATGCTGGGACTCAAATTGTCAGACCGAATTAGGAACAGTGATCTGCGCTCCAAAACACGAATCGTAGAGGTGGGCCCACAAGCCAGTAAACTAAAATGGGACTGGGCGGGTCACGTCTGTCGCATGTCGGACGAGTCGTGTGCGAAGGTCACCGCAGAATGGATCCCCAAAGATAGAAAACGACCATGCGGCAAGCCAAAGCGTCGATAGAGAGACGAGCTAGACGCGCACCTAAACGACTGGACCTCAGTGGCACAAAACAGAGAGGTGTGGAGAGAGAGGAGGAAAGCCTTTGCTCAGCAGTGGTACAGTATACTCATAAAAAAAAGTAAAAATATGTAAAATAAAAACTCAGAGGTGCGCCGGATTCGAACACACGGCCTGTGCTTCAGGTCGAACCATTAGGTTACCACGGCTTATTAGCAATATTTCTCGCTAACGATGAAGGAAAATATAATATGTCGAAGAACTTTCAGAACCCTTAAAATCTTTATACCACAAAAGCGTGCGGTTAGGGTAATTTACAATCTGGCCCCGGTGTATTTCAAAAAGAAATGAAAAAAAAAAATCTTACACTAGTGTCACAGTTCAGTGTTTGTTTGTGTTTTTGTTTCGTAATTATTTATTTATGTTTTACGTTGAATGTTTTGATCGTGGTTTGTTTTAGTTCTGTTTTGTTCCGTTTTCTCTTTTTTTTTTTTGTCTTTTGTAGTGTCATTGTGGTAAACAAATAATTGTATTTTCTTTCTTTCTTTTAATTTACGAAAAAGTAATTTGTTTCATAGATTTCTCATAGATGGCGCTACGGCTAAAAAGTCGTTGAAAACCAAATACAATGATCCGACAATAAGTACATAAAAAAATTCGTGGGGTTAATTCCGTCGCTTAGTTGGCATAGCGTCTGGCACGGTTTGCTAGGAGACGTCGGTTCGAATCCGACCGGATCGAAGGAATTTTTTCTAAGTGTTCATACTGACATTCAATAAAAAATTTAATTCATGTTACGAAATAACATTAATACAAGGAATAAAACTAAGCTGTCTGTTGTTGACAGTCATCTTCACAAAGTCACAAATTCATTTAAGGATCAATGTATATGCCTCGATTAAGACACCGCATGATATTTACATTTTGCCATTTACGAGGTTTAAAACTATAGTAGAACATGAAGTTTATGCTAAACGTCAACAGTTTCTGAGTACTTGGATGACAAAAATCAATAAAACAGATATTAATTAAAGATATAATAAAACAAACAAATAAATAAAGACCAAATAATAATATATTATTAACATGCTTTCTTCCTTTCTTTGAATTGACATTAAAATAAATTGATTTCAGTGTACAATCAATCTGTACATACCTTCAGCCTTAGTATTCCTTTCAAATGCATCCAAATCTAGTACAGAGCAGGAGTTCATGAGACCAGCGATCGAAGTGAAGAAACCAACGTCTTTTTTGTCCTTTAAGTGGTTCAACATGCCCTGTACAATAAATTGTCATTAGTTTCCAATGTAACGAAAATAAAGATTATTAAAATTTCCGATAACAGACAGCGTTTCGAGAGATATTTAATTTTGACAACAGCTGTCAATTTTTTAAAATTATATCAAGTGACGGGACGAACAAATCGTGCGTTTGATGGTAAGCTACACTTCTATCCATAACAGTTGCAGTGCCACTCAGAGCTTTAAATCGCAAAGACCTTAGGGTCACTGCCACTGCGCCCGTCAACCTGAGACATAAGTTGATAAGTCCTATGTGCCTGTAATTTCACCACCATAGAAAAGTCTATACATAAATATACCAGCTTTGTAAACACTTCAATGTGTTTTTTGCTTTTAATTTATTTACGGGCTATGCTTTAATTTAATTAAAAAAAGGGATGGATACAAATAGTTGTTGGCTTGAAAAAAGACAAAAACAAAACGGATTGAAATCATGTAGGAAATTAAACTACAAAATACTGCATTACACGCAAAATAGGCGCCTTGTCGTCGAGTTGCGGATACCAGCCCGTTGCACCAAGTACCAAGTACCAAGTATTGGAGAGTTTAAATCTTACCATCTGTATGTCGATGTTGCCGCCACGTAGAATGGATATGCCCAATTCTAGTGTTTTCATGACCATTTCGCTAGGTACACCTTTCGACGCAGATATGTGTAGAAGCACCATTTCTGCTACTCCCCGGTTGGCAAGACGGGCTTGGTGGAACAGAAGCTTTTGTTTTTCCATTTCTTGTTCCTACAAAAAAGGTACATATAATTCAAAATTTGGTAAATAAATTGGTGGTGGGCAGCGATTTTGGCAACATTCTATGGCATATGTTACAATTTTGACATTGATTACGGGTGAATTTATAAGTTCAGTTCATTAATACATAGGTAATTCAAATAGACTACAAAGATTTAAGCGGCCTTCAGATTAGACGCTTATAGAAGCGCAGCAGGGGCGCCACAGTGGCACTACACCGCGCCACTATTAATTTTCACACAATATTTAGAATTGCAGCTGCAGCGTCACATAAGTGCAACTAGAGCTCTTCTACAAGCATCTAATTTGAAGGCGATAAGTATTTACGTCTCACTACTTTTTAATTTAATGTCCACACATAACAAGTATGTTCAAAGATAAATTATTAACATTTTATTAAAAAAAACCGACCTCAAAAGTTTGTGGAATTACATTTATTTGCCAAGTTTTATTGAAATGGGTTTCAGGAAAGTGCGCAAAACTGGATTCATCCCATTCTTAGGGGTGGAATATTTTCTTCAAATTTAAATGGAATCAATACTTAGGTACGCCCTTTCCAACAAAAAAAAAAACATCAAATGAGTAATACACATACACAAAAGAAAAATACAGTCGAATTGAAAATCTTTTCCCCTTTTTTGAAGTCGGTTAAAAAATAAGACTCAAGAAGTTTTTTGTTTTTGCAGTAATTGACAGACAGCGCAATTCAGGACGTAGTCTCTGGTTTACTTTTCAATCGCATTGAAATATGATTTTTTAGGCTCGCAGGGGTTTCAAATAGCGGTGGCCCTGGTGTGGCAACAGGCGCTGGTTAGAGTCCAGTCAGATCGAACAACACAAAGAAAAATTTTTTCGGTGTATCAATAATTATGACAAACTTGTGGAGTATTTTCACTAAAAACATAAGTATGAACATCGTCGTAGTAAAAACGTGATATTCACTAAAATAAATAAGTTTTTTTTAGTTTCACAGTCTGACTATATTAATAATACATAATAAATTATTCTTAAGGAATCCATATAAAATTCGCGATAGCAAATTTAATATTTTTATGCCAAGGATGATATTTCAAATTTACTTTTTAACGTACATATCTTGCATGTTTGACATATAATATTTTTAAATGACAGCATTGGTCAGATACAAAAACAAAGCCTACAAAGATATGTATTTTAGAGAAAGTACGTCTTATACATACCATAAACGTATCCATGGTTTTCTGCATGTAATCATAATAAAAGTTTTTTTATATGAACTGTAAGAAGTCGACAACAAAACTGAAGAAGTGCATTTCAAAGT